GCACTATTACCATTCGTAATATGCCAGCAGTGCTGCATTGTGTGCCTGTACTGAATGACGGTAACCATGTGGCGCCCCGCGCTGACTAACTGCATCTAGTCGCTCTTACACATGCTGAAAGAAAACATTGTCTAATGTGTTGTATTTAATGTTATTCTCTGGGGTCCTGCCCCGGGTCGGATAGCATGTGCGTCCACCTAAGCAGAGAGGCCCAGACTTCCCTCTCACCAGTCACTTGGGCCAGTTCTTCCGGGGGTTGAGGTTTTTGTAAATCAGTTAGTTAATCAGGTTTTCGGATAATTCTCTTTACATCTTTGAGGCCTGTTTTTTTCCATGATCTGGTTTTAAGAGTGCCAACATTCGAATCATCATATCTTCTTCCTTTTTAAAAAAATGTATTTCTGTGTTGTCTTCATCCCAAACCTTAAAACAGTTTCAGAATCAGTAAATAAGTGAAAAATGTCCCTGGGCAGGTTTTGTTGTGGCCGGTCACGTTTGAGAAGAAACAAAGAGACTTTCTAACCGACACATTGTTTTGGTACGATGAAGAAATATTCAACCAAACACAAATTTCCTTTCTTTATGAGCTAACTGCTAAAGCTAGTGAAACTTTCTTAACATTTCACTGTGATTATTAAAACAGAAAATAAATCTTTAGGTTTTTTTTTTTTTAATTATCTGTGCTATTAGCCTCATCAACGAAGGGCATGTTTGTTGCCTATACAAACGTTCATGCTGGATACCATCTCCCTCATTCGCTGTATCGAGTTCATGTCAGGGCTTCCAGGTTTTACCAGGAACTGTATTAAATCATCAGTAAAAGTGACTCCCTCCTGATTTTATCCCATCATCGATGTCACCATGTGATGACACCAGAACCTCCTGTCTCCCAGATCCGTTTCACAGCTGCAGAAGGTGAGCTTAGTGTTTCTGATGACCAGCTGGTCACACTTGGATCAATCAGCATCAGTCTCCATGGTGTCAGGACACACTCGTGGAATGATTGACGTTTACTCAGCAAGCTCCCTTCGTTTTGTCCAAACGGTCCGTCGGTTCTGTTCCCACGCTGTCCTGACCGGCTGCAGCGCCGCGGAGACGTGAGAGCTCTCGGCCCTGAACTGAAGCCATTCAGAGATTTCTCTGTTACTGCTGACATTGGTGAACATTTCTGAGCTTTTGACAAATTCCCATTTTGTGAGAGAGGGAAAGGGACTAGAGCAATTGAAATTTTCAATTAGCCACTGAGTAAGGCTGAAATTGGACCTTGAATTGGTTTTGCTTGTTTTCATTTTTAGCTACACTACATATCCTTCTGTATGTTTTTATCATCACACCAAAAACATTAATGATGAAAGGAAACCGCTCAAACTAAAATGTGAGACCAAATAATTAACAGGACTATTTTTTTTCTTTCTAGGAAAGATATTTTAAAAAATAAGTAAGTAAAGGTACCAGAATGAGATAAATTTGTTTCTGTGTGGAAGCTGCTTCCTCTGCCCTTGTAGTCATATTCAATCAATTAGAATATGACATCCACTGAGGCTCATTTGTCAGATTAAAAGTACCTTTTGAAAATTGACAACATTTAAGCATGTATTAACCATATGTTTTATTAAACCCATATTATTATTTTTTTTCTTATTCGTCTGATGTGATATTCTAATTTTAAATGTGTTTTAATTAACTGTAAGAGGAAAATCATCACAGTTAACAGAAATAAAGGCTTTCACACATCCATCTGTGTAAACCATGTACATAATGTGTTTCCATTAGGGATCAAATTTCTGGGAGTAATATACTTTTTAAGAGTATTAAAATTTATTGAATGGGTTGGAAATTCTCCCCTAGCCTCACGTTGTGGCTGAATGCCTAGCAAAGTGCATTCGACACAAATGAAAAACGCTACCTCACTCTTTACTAGACAAAGATACCTCACCAGCCTCTTCCATAAAATTTATATTTAATCAGAAACACACTGGTATGGATCAAAAATGTTGCTACACTGCTTATTTAGCTTGTCAACTAATTATTTAGCTTGATGCTAAGGATTTAGCTTGCTAGCTACATTTTTAGGTAGGAGCTAAATATTTAGTTGCACTTAGCAATATGTACTTGCTAAGTACATATTTAGCTTCAAACTACATATACTAAATAAGCAAGATAGTAGATTAACTAAATACTTCCCTTGTTAAATACATATTTTGCTTCAAACTATTTAACTTGGTAACTAAATATTAAGTTTGAAACTATGACCTAAATGAATAAAGGTGAAAATTAAAAAAAAATAAACCCCACTTTTTCCCTCTTATGACAGGTCGCTATAAATGTTTGACTGAGTGACATTACAAACGCCACCCCACAGCTTTCAGTGGCTTTTTTGTGTTAGAGTTAAACTCTACATATCTACGTACCCACTTCTTTATTACATTTTGTTAATCAGGACTTAAATATTGCAGTCTTTCCACAGCACACGGTTAGATATGTCTTAGCAGGGAGCACATAGCCGTTTTAATGATGTCTGAATTCCACTTAGGAGAATCTCCTGCTGTTTTACACGCTGCTTTATTATCAAGGTTTACTGGGGGACTAAAAGAGACTCAGCCATTTTGAAGTTCATCTGTCTTTTATATTTGTAATTTTCATGCTGTGAGAAGTAAAAATGTCCGCTGTGAAAAACGTCAGTCATCTTTGTCAGTCTGGATCGTAGGGTGCCTGAAATCTGAATGTTTTTTCAGAGTGAAAGTGTGTTTTGTCAGACCGGCAACTTTTCTACACCTTAGAACGCGACATGAAGCGATGCCCTGTGTCCACTAATCCAACTGATCCCTCTGATCCAACAGGAAATGCTGTCCTTTCTTCGGAGTAAAGACAAGTCTGCTTGTTTTTTTTTAAGGTCCTTCTTCAGCATCAGCAGTGCTCTTTCTTACCTCTTATTCAGCGGAGCCTGTGAGTTTCATTCTGTCTTCTCTTTGACCTTGGACTCATGAACCCTAATGGTATGCTGCTGGAATACAGTTATGCAGAGTGATAATGAGTCCTTGGTTGTCTTTGTGAGTGTTTTTCTGAGCCTGTTAAATAGTTGGAACAAAAAGCAGCATTCTCTAAATGGGCAGTGTTATGTAAAATTTTCTTTTGTGACGTTTACATCATGTTATAATTTTATTCCCTCACCAAAAACAAACCTGGAATGTTGGCTTGATTCTTTCATGCAGGTTTGAGAAATCCTTTAGTCTCCCGTAGCAACCATTCAGCTGTGCAAATTGACTTGGTGAGCCTAGCTTTGGCTTTGAGGACAAAGCTCCTCCTCACAGAGCTACAATTTCCAAGCTTCCCCCCTGACTCTCCCACTCAGCTCCTTCAGACTAGCAAGAAGCAATTAGCAAACACCTGGTGGAACTGTGCATCTGCTGAGCTCATTATACGAACTACTTCTAAGTGCAACACTGCAAGATCATTTCACTCCCCTTCCTGGCTGTTATTCATTTCCTCTTTTGCATCTCCCCAGTCCTTTCCCCTGCTGTATCCACTCACCTGTCATTAGCTCTTCTGATTACTTTGTAGACATAGGCATAAACTTTGAAAGACCACCCAAAACACTAGCTTCAGTTTTGGCAACAAAAAAACAACAAAGGAAAATCAGAAAGCTTCATCGTGACTGCACTACAAAAAAAAACAAAAAAAAACACCAGAATGAAATCCTTAGAAGGACAGAAACGAGAAAACTAGGTATAAGTTTAAGGACAGTATTTAGTTTTACGGTTTTCTGCAGTAAATGTAAAATATTCTTGTTGAAAGGTTTCTTGGAGTAAATGCTTTTAACTGTGTTGGATGTTATTCTATAGCGCTCACGCTGATATACACACAGGTTAAACACCTGCTCACCACATCAACCTCTACGTAGAGTCTGGCTGAAGAATAAAACACCGGTAGCAGATAAACAGCATTATCAACAACACTGCTGTTGTCTGGCGGTTGCACTTTTTAAGAGAAAATATGACCCCACTTTTGGCAAATACACAAACAGCAATACGGTATCCCTCTGGCATTATCCTCACACGTTCATTAAGAATGCAGTAGGAAAAAAACCCCAGAAGGGATATGAATGCTGACATAAATAATGTATGATTTTTAACTTTTTTTTTTTTTTTGCTTTTAGCTACAGCAAGATGTGAGTTCTGGAGGCTGTGAGTTTAAATGAGATTTAAAATGCCATTAATCTCTCTCTCTCTCTCTCTCTTAATTATTATTAAAATGAAGATCATAGCTACTGTTAACTCTGAGGTAAACATTTCTAGGCAAAGACACCACGACAATATTTCCGATTTACGGTCATGTAAACAGTGCTTACGTTCTCCGTCGGGCGTCGAAGCAACATTCAACACCTGACACAAATTCAATACGTCACCTTCCCTCCGGCGCGCGCCGACAAAGACGACGCCGAGTCAGCCTTCATTCGCTTTAATCTAGTTCCGTTGGAAATACATTACATACAGTACAACAGTTTGAAATGATACGTGTAAAAAAATATATGTCATCTTACAATACAGTACCAGTCAGAGAACAAAAGAAAAAATAAAGAGAGAGAGAAAAAAACAACTTCTTGACGCTGTCGCTTCACGTAGCAGCAAGAAAACCTGCTGCAACGTAGCGCCAGTGTGAAGATTAAACACACACACATATTTAATAAATTTTAATATTCCAATGAGACAAGTCAAATTAAAAGTAAAGTTTGAAAATAACATTTTAATAACAATTAAACACACTTTTCATTAAGCCCACGTTCCCCTGTGAACCCTGTTTCTTTTTTATATTGGTTTGACATAATCTAATCTTAAATGTTTTCATGTAGCTGTAAGCAGAAAATCATAATTAACAGAAACAAAGGTTTGAACACGGTATGTGTGTGGGTAATCAAAATGTGTTTCACCTAGAGAAATTAATAAACTTTTTAATAATATTCAAATTTGCTGAATATGAAGAAACTCATTAATTTCAGGGTTTTTATTTATTTATTTAATAGCACAGCAGAAGAGATTTTATGTTTTCTGGAGTGCAAAGTCAGGATAGGAAGCAACTGTGGCCTGGTCTTGCAAAGCTGGAGATTCAATTCCACCTTCCACATGTCAGTGTGCCTCTGGGCAAGGCACTTAACCCCAAGTTCCTGCTGTGTACTGGTGTGTGAGTGTGTGTTTGCTCATAAATGTGGCTCTAGTGTAAACCGCTCTGAGTGGTCAAAATGATTAGAAAGAAACAGAATTGGGTGCACACATCTAAATTCATTCTAGTTTTTCTGTAATCATGAAAATTGTGCACACCAGCTCAAATATATAAATACATCCCCACTTACGTTTTGTTGAACGTCCCTTGAGCCAACATACTCTTAAAAGCCATCAACAAATATCATATCATAACTGTGGTTGGATAATTGACCAAACAGGACTGATGTCAGCTAATAGCTGATTTTCACACTCTAGTTGGGTCACTGAATCTTGGGGGGGAGATCAATTTTTATTTATCACTACAGAAGGGTTCAGTGAATGCGCATATGAAACTGGTGGGTTCGGTACCTCAAAAGAAGTTAAGAATCACTGCTTCAGTATATATTTTTCTAAATAAAACTTTTTCCTGACCCTGTTATCTAGTTGTCATATTGTTGACAATTAGTAGCAAAACACTGCATCCCTTTGACTTTTATACATCATGCGTACATTTAAGATTTAGCATGATGTGTTGACAGTTTGCTAGCTAAAACCAATGGTAGTTATCATCGCAGGATAGTTTTCTGCTCTCCAGCAGGGAGCTGGAGGGCAATAAACCTGATAATTGGAACACATTTAATCCCATTAGTTTTGGTTCATATGTATATTTGAGCCTGTATGTTCAAAGTTTATAGATCAGAATGAACACATATCAAAATTCAAATCAAGGACCCATTTCTTTCCATTTTTTTAAAATCATTTAAGTGATAATTTGTAAATAGACATAGAAATAAAAGAACAATTCAAATGCATTTTTAAAACATCCCAAATTCTCTGACGTTCATGCTGATGATCTGACAGAGTGTACAAACTCAGAAGCATGAAGCTAAATCCCAAATCATGACATGTAAAAGGAGAGCTATTTTAATTGCTAATAAAAATGTTCTTTTCTTTGTCCATGCTTCACTGAACATGCTTTATTGGAAGACAGCTCACGTTTGGAACAACTCTGAACCAGACACCAGTCATCACATCAATCGGCTTCACGGAGAGTTCACAACCAACCTGGTTGCGTATCGGAAGGTCCTGGCCTCATCTCACTGAGGTCTGCCGCTGCGCTTTTCTTCCTGACGAACACACAGGGAGGGAACCATTTAAAACGTACGACTGACTCGTGCGCGCAGGAGGCTCTGTACGGACAGAGCTTTTCTAGCAGAGAGTGCTGTGCACAGCAGTTTCCTGACATCCACTTGAGGAATTTATGCAGCTTTTGTTGTTACCCCCCCCCCAAAAGATGTAAATCTGGCTATATATCTGCAGCGTGCAGCTACTTTTTGTTGGCATCTTATCTCAAATAAAGATCAAGATGGCTATATTTCTTCCTGAAGTATCAGAAGAGCCGATGAACTCAGACACAGGGAGGCTTTCTTTCCTGCGGTAACAGGCCATGCAGTTACCTTGTGCGTTAATAGCTAAATGAAGAACTGGCGGTCATGTAGAATGTCATGCGGGTGGCCCAGTTTAGATCAACACAACCTCGGCAGTAGGAGTCCGATTGGCACAGGTCACGGAATCCTTCACTAAAATGAAAAATGACATTTCAGGAAAAAACAATAAGCTCTGACGGGAGGTGGTAGACTTTTTAATTTCATTTCAGAGACCACATGTCAGCAGGAAGTGGGGACGGAGGCTGGGATTTGAATTTGCAGAATCCCAGTCCAAATGGTCCGAGGCCTCGAGGGAAAACAGGTGGAATGACAGAGGAACGAAGGCCCGCAAAACCGTCATCGCTTGTTTAATGACAACTTGTTTCCCTGAAGAAAGCTGGTGTCATGTAAACATTTGCCTCTTTATTGCACCGAGTCATTTCAGCGTTCAAGCTAATCCATCATTAAACAACGCTCAGGAACGAGCTCCGGCTTCACAAACACGGAAGACGCTCCGCTGGCTTCGGCAGCATGGTTCAGAAATCAGGCGGTGTGAGATGAGGAGTTCAAGCTTTCTGTTTTAAGAGTTGAATATCTGATCATGTTAGAGCATCTATCTTCAATCCGTTTTAGTGGGAACACAAAGTAGTATGGCAGCTGTAAGGAAAATAAAATGTATTACTAGTGAGAAGCTCAAAAAGTATTTCAACACCTTTTGTAAAACCACATTTTTCTAAAAATACAGATTTAAGTCAGCCTACCAAATCTAGAGACCAACATTTCTGCATATTTTTCTTTTGCAAAATATTTTAATTGGACTGACTGGATGAAGAATATCTGTGAAAATCAATTTTCAAAGTGTCTTGCAGATTCTCAACTGGATTCAGTTCTGGCCTTTGACTGGACCATTTGATGTTTTAATCTGAACCTAGTTTGATTAAAGTGGACAAAACAGGACTGGTTTCATTTTTGGAAACTATGTCAGCTTTGTGTTAGTCACCACTTCAGTTGACATCGACTTGCCAGTTCCCAGTTAATTGCGTGACATGACCGTCCAGATTCATAACGAGAGCTCCGTTTCAAAATACCAGTAAAAATTGCTTTAGTTAGAGGTCGTACTGTGGGAAAACGTGAAGATCGGCACATGCTATCAGAGGCATAATAAATGTTTGCTTTGTTCAAGCGTACCGTGCAACCAGGTTCGCAAAGAGCAAGTTTCCGCCGAAAGCAGCTGCCGGTTGTGTGAGCTGAGAATAAAGATCACACAGGAGTAACCGTGGAACAGCTGCAGCACTGGAAGTTGGGGGAGCGCAACAACAGGGGGGGGGAGAACCAATTGAGATCCTCTATAGCTCTAGGGGAAGATGTTGTTTTGCTGGTGTAGGGAGCGAGGCAAACACAGACCAATTTACGAGGAGGAAAAACTGTGTCGGAGAAGAAAACAAAAAAAGAAAAGGAAAAAAAAAGAAGGATACAGCAGACCTGGCCCATTCTTCACTGCGTGGTCTAATCTCAGCTCTTAAAGAAGATGGCTGGAAACAAACTCTGTTTTGCTGTCAGCAGGCCTGGCTGAACGCTCGGCTCTAGTGAACAAGCCCACTGAGTCACGAACTCAACCAAGGAGGTGAGAAAGCAGAAGATGTTTGGTTTGATACAATGATTCGGGAAGGAAAAGCTGCTGCATGGTCATTGTGATGACATATTAATTTAAGCATACATCGACGAGCAACATTAAGCAACAAGTGAGTGTTAAGATTACATAACATTAACTCTCACCCCTTCATGTGGATGCTTAACTTTGAATGCCCACCTACTCAGGATGCTTATTTTGGCACTTCTGACTTAAAAATAACATGCAGACCAGTAATGTGTATGGAATATGCATGTTGGGACGAGTCAGACAATGTGTTAGTGTGTAACAGTAGTGGGCAACGCTAACTAAAAAGTTAGCTACTCTACCTCTATAGCACTAATCGTAAGCATTAGTTCCTTTAATGCTAAAGCTCTATCCCAACACAGTATTTAGTGGAAGCTAATTGTGAAACGCTATGCCAATGTGGTATTTAGCAGAAGCTAATGCTAACAAACTAAATCCAGCTATGTTGATACTCAAAATGTGTGACCAGCTGTGTTTCCATTATAAATGTGGGCAACATTTTGTAAATATTCTGCTAATGTAAAAAAATATAAAAAATACAATTTTGGTGTTACAGTTAAATAGGAAACATAATTAAAACTGCATGTGCAAGCTTAACTTGTTGCTTAACTTTTTGTGTCAGTGAATGTATTTTTTTACTGGGACAGTAAAAAGAAAAAATGCCTCCAGAATTATTTTAACTAATTTACAATGTAAAAAAAAAAAAGTTTGATTTGCGGAAGTGGAAAGCTGCCAACAAGGCAAAAGAGAATTAAAGCAACATCATGTTGTAAAGTGAAAACCTCAGTATTCAAAAAAATGTTTTTCATATTTTTACAATATACTATTATGCTATTGCAGTACACCCATCATGTTATAACAATATATCACATTATACATTTATAATGTTATAACAAAGACTATTCACATTAAAATTGGATATATTAATTTGTTGTGCAAATGTCAAAAAGTTCAATATTGTTTGAACAATGTTTTCTTGTTAGAAAATGAGACATTTCACATTCTGACACACCATCAAGTGCTACATCCATGCATAGTTAAAGAGCTTCAGTTTGGCAGGAGTCAAGATGCCACATTAATTTGGGGTAATTTTTGGTAAATGTTGTCTTAATTGAGCCAATAGGGTCCAAGTACAGTGGTAAAAATGTCTGTGTGACAAAACAGCCTGTTTGAATTCAGGTCAAACTGGTTATCGGCTCAATAAGAAATGTGTTTATGTTATAACATGATATAGCTCTGTTTTATGTTGCACTACGTTTCACTATAACCAACTCACATCCACATTTCTGAATCTGAAGACCCATCAGGAAAATTCATACCCCGGTAGATTTAATGTAGTCAGATCAAAAGGATATTAGCTTACACAGAAAATATATACGCTTTGCCAGATTTACACACAATTATATATTAATGAACTTATTAGTTAATGTTGTAGTGAATCCTAAAACAAAAACCTTTAGAGTACAAGAAAACAATTCATCAATAAAAATGACTTCTTGGCATTTTACTTTGGTGTTTTAAAGATTTAGAGAGGTGAAAATCTGAGCATTTTTTTAATGCCAACAAATCCCGTGGACAATTCCACACCAATACAATTTATACTTCTAGTACCTTGTGTTAAGAAACCAACTGTGAGTTGTCAATGACGATGAGGAGGCTAACAAATTTTACATATATATTTGCTGTAGGTGCTTGGAGTTGCAGTAGTCATCTGTAGGTCTTTTCCCTTATTGTCTTGCTCTACAACAACAGCTGCGTTTCCATTGACCATAACTGCGCAATTTGACATTTAGAATATAAATTTACTTAATGAGAACATGCTAATTTTGAAAAAAAAACCTTTTTGGATAAAAATTTTCTGCACTACAATGAGGGATCAGCCGTATCAAAATTGGTTTATGTGGCTGCAATAGAAGCACTTTTTGCTTCACAAACATCACATAAATCAACAATTAGATGTTGGTGTAAACCACAAAGAAGACGACAGGAAGTAGTCGAGGATGATGGTGTGGTGTGTTTTATAACTTATTGAGTGAACAAACTCATTCATGAGTGATTTTGTTGTTTCCTGTTTAATAGAAACGGAGCAATTGCAAAATTGTGGGTTTTCGACATTAGCGGAATATAAACAAAGTTTTGTGCACATTTGTAAAGGAAACGCAGCGGCGCTAGCGGCAGTTAACCTAACATTTAAACCGAGAAGTCAGAATTCCTTAGTTCAAATTCACAGAAAAAAAATCTACCTCCACCCAACACACACGACACACACCTTCATTACCAACACAGAACAATTGCTGCAACTTTCTAATGTTGCGTATTAGACACTTTACGTTAACGCACCAGTCACATGGCAGCCTCTCCCACAGACTGGACTCGACTGCAGTCAGCAAGTTAGTCAGATTGAAATATTTCAAATCAGTTGCATCAGTGGTTCAAAGTAACTTGTTCATGTTTTTTGTTTTTCTTGCCAACCTCTTGACATCTCCACTTCCATTGTGGACCAGATATTGTTCTTCAGCCACAAAGCAAAAGAAAACTTCCATCTGACTCTACTCTTGACCCAATCTCAAGAAAGAACAATGAGACCAAAGACAACTTTGTTGTACCTCCTTCTGTATGTTATGTCTAAGGTCTTGCTTTGGATTTTTTTTTTTTTTACCAACATTAGCTTAAGATGATGTTCAGAACTGTTTTTATTTAGGAATAAAATCTATAATTTTTCTAACATTGATGCATTCACGTTCCATAACAAAAGGTTGTTCCTTTTATCACTTGCCCCATTCCTTGGTGGTTATTACTGGTTTGTATTTCCGTTGGATCTTCACTGGTAGTGGGTTATAATTATAGCAAGAGTATTGGAAAATAAATTAAAACTGTAATAAAAGTTTTGTTTAGATGATAATTTCTTTGTTGTAACAATGCATCTTGGTAATAAATCGTTTAAAAAGTCTGTTTATCTCTCTTTGAATGTAAGGAGAAGACATTTGTGTGTTGAGCAGCAGGGAAGAGTGTGTGGGTTGCATCAGAGAAAATAATTTCTATCAATGCCAGACAACTACAACGGAGGGTCACCCCAAGAAAATGATACATTAAATTACGAGAATAAAGTCACAACATTGTGAAACTAGGATATTTAATAAAGTCATATTACAAGAATAAATTCACAAGTATGAAGTTATAAAGTTATGAAAATAAAGTTATAGTATTACAAGCAAAACAATCATATTACAAAGGTAGTCATAATATTACAACTTTAATCTCATAATGTTATGACTTCTCAAAATATTATGATTTTATTCTCATATTGACATCATTATATTATGTAGACTTTATTCCTGTAGTGTGATTTTGTTCTTGTAATATTATGACTTTACTCTGGTATGAGTTTATTCTCGTAATAAGACTATTGTCGTAATTAAATATTTAAAAATGTTTTCTTTGTATGGCCCTAATACTTGTAAACAACTGATTCTGGTATTGACATTTATGTTGGTGGCATTCATTGAGACGGATGATTAAAGTTTAAAAACAAGACACACTGTTAATTAAGAGTGTATTCATTTAACAAACAGCTGCCTCTGCAGTGGATGGGTGAACTGTACACCACACCACCTTCTCTTCATGATCGTCACCAGCCTTGTCCCTCAGTGTTGTGCCATCCCATCCCATTTCTCCATCAGAATTTGTCATAAGTCAGACAACCAGCTTGTGATGGCTCCACAAACAGCACACCAAAATCTGACTCCCAGTAGAGTTCAATAGAGTTGGGTCGAGTCCCACTGTGTAAGGGCGAACACAGGCATGTTGGAGGAAAGACTTTGATCTCAAACTGTTCAGATACGAAATGGCCAATTTGTGTCAGAACCTCATTTTGATCATCATCTGGCTCAAATGATGGCCAGACTCTGTATTTTCTATGACAGAGATACTGCCACGCCACCTGACATGTTTGTCTGACATGTTTTTTTTCAGTGCTCATCCTCAAACTCAACCTCAACCTTTCCATTAAAGAGGAAATAGCCAGACTTATCAAAGTCTGGCTTGACAATAAAAGTTATTGTTAAGAAGCTTTGGTACAACAAAGAAAATACTCAACAAAACCCCAGATTACTCACTTTTACGCTACGACTCTTTCCTGTAATCAGGTTTGGGAAAAGTATGGTTGTTACACAAATACTACCATATGAGGAACAATAAGCTATGATTATTCAATACATTGAGGTTCCATCAGAAATCCTTGAGGATGACTGAAGATGGTCCACTAAGGTTACAACGTTTAAGTATAAAAACACAGACTGATTTGGCAAGAAGAATCAATAAATACATACAAAATGAATAAATTAAACCTAGAAAACACATAATAATAAAAACAGCCAGTATGGGTTACTAAGAGAGGTTGTGTGTAGTTCTCATTGGCTGGGCGGTTGTGTAGTCCATAAACTGATACTTCTGATAATGAGCCATTCTTTTTGGCTGGCTGTCACCACAATGCGAACGCACTCAATGTCAAAGCCAATCTTGTGGTCCACGTCTTGAACCTCGATGTTTCCATTTTTAAACTCTCCTAATGTGATGTAAGAGGAGCACTGCTTTCCTTTTTTAGTCCCGACCAACTTCTCTCCTACTTCCAGCGCTCCGTGGTGGAGGAAGTCGCTTTGTCGGTCATCAGACCCAGTAGCAATCCTAATTTTGCTAATTTTGGTTGATTTGTTAAAGACTATGACGAAGAAATCTCCGGTGGAGGGAGGTTTCCCCCAAAAGTACTCGTCTACCGTGCTGTACGCCTTGGTGGCGTCGTAGTTCTCAAAGACGTTGATATTGGTGTAAATGCCAGCCGGGGGGTTGTCCGGGATGTCTATGGAGTCTTCCTCGAAGTCGTCGTCCTTCAGTTTGTTCTCCACGCCTTTGTAGGACGAGTAGTAGCCCATGTGCTGGAACAGCGAGGGCTTGAATCGGATCACGTCCTTTTGAGCCAGCAGGCCCCGGAAGTGGATGAGGAGCCAGTCGCAAGGCATTTCCTGGTAGAACATGAGGAGGAAGTGAGCCAGGCGGGGCAGGTCTCTGGAGTGGTACAGCTTCCCGATGTAGCCCAGCTTGGAGAACTCCATCATCACCCAGTAGGAGCCTTCTCTGGAGGTTATCACCTTCTTCAGCGCCGTCAGGAAGTTCCGGGAGCAGCGCACGTCGTCCTCCAGCATCATGTAGAAGTGCGACAGGTTCGTGCAGAAGTTCAGGAGGAAAGCGTAGTCGACGTTCTGCTTGGAGCGGAAACGGACTCTGTCCTCCGGGTCGTTGTAGTTCCTCTTCAAGCCGTCCAGAGAAGGGTAGAACTCCTCTGGGGCCTGGATGACCAGGAGGCGGCCAGCTATGATGTGGTGAGCGAACTTCCTGGTGATCTCCTGCACCACATTCTCACACCAGACCAGGTCAAAATCCGCCAGGTGGACCACAACCACAATCTCTTTCAGCTCCTCGTAGCTGGACTGGTCAAAGATGGACTTGATCGTCTCCAGGAGGTAGTTTCCCCTTTTCCTCTTGACCGATGACAATCCAATGGTCAGAAACTCTGCAAATTAAATGTGAAAATATATTTTAATGAGTGAAATAAATGTAAAGCAATGCTCCCATTCAGATCTGAGGTATCTGTAAAATCATTCCCTGATGAAATTTGGAGAAGGGAGATGAGAAATGATGACTTACAATCAGAAGACAGTTTCTGTGTATGTGGGGACAGTTTAAGAAACATTGTTTAAAGATTACCATAGGGGAAACCAACTACAGCCCATGAAAAATACCAATAACTTTAGGTTTTGTCCTTTACACACATTTTCTCAGGTTTGGACTTTATATTCCTTCCAAGATTGTGCTAACTGTATGCTTCAGAAAAGAAAACAGTCAGACTCTTGCTCCCATAGAGATGCTCATATACAGTGTCTATAAAAAAATATCCATCCCATTGAATGTTCTACCCTTTTTATTTCTTTTACAAATCAATCCTGATCAACAAAAATCTTTAAAGAAGCAGTATTATGACACATAGTGTCATTTTATAGCACAATCAAGAAACTATTTACATTTCTGTTGTTACAAAAATGCTGTACATCTACCAAATATATATTATAAGAAATTAGACTTTCTAATTTAATGCCATGTCTCTTTAAGAAACTCCTGCTCTTTCTGAAACTCTTCAGGACGTCATCACAACATGGCTCCTCTCAATTCCACCAGGTGTTTGCTAATTCCAGCTGGCTAGTCTGAAGGAACTGAGTGGGGGAGATCTGCTCTGTGAGGCGGAAGCTTGGAAACTGCAGCTCAGAGGAGGAGTTTCATCCTCGAAGGCGGAGCTATGTCCACTCAGGCGTTTTTCCCAGCTGATTGGTTGCCATGGAGATTAAAGGATTTCTCAAACTTGCATGAAAGAATCAAGGCAACACTCCAGATATGTTTTTGATGAAGGAATAATATCATAACAAGAGGAAGAGCTAAAAACTGTTTCATTAAATCAGTCATTGCATATGCAACTCCTTCAAGTCAGTATTTAGCAGATGCACCTTTGGGTGTGAATGTGTCTCAATGAGGCTCCAGATCTGCAGGTGAATATGTTTTATAGGCACTGCATATTTATGACCTCAACTCAGAGGCTTTTATTTTTTATAATTGTAATATAAAACAAACAAATACAGGTTTTAAGATCAAGTGAACAAACACAGAAACAAAACAAAATGTATAAAAAAAAGAAAAGAGCGCAGTTGATACCGTAAAGAAAGAAACAATAACCTAAAACAAAAAAGTTACAAAGCATTACTGACTCCTTTCTAAATCCTGTGGAAGTGGCAAACATGAACTGGGTTCTTCCCATGACTCTATGGAAAGTGCAAAATAAATCGACAAAATGCAGATAAGACAACTGGGTCAAAATGATTTTTGAGCTATAACATTTGGAAGTAGAGCATGATTTGCTTGAGGTGAGCTCTTTGCCGAGTTCAAAACCGAAACAAAGAATCTCTTTGAATCATTTATTCTTCTCTTCTTTAAATCAGACGGATTCGGTTCCGCCTCCTCAGATACGAGACGGGTTAATGTGAAGCCGCTGCTAAAGAGGGAACCTTCAGACTTACTCTTGCGGTTCAGAGGCGTGCCGGCGAGATAGCGGTATGTGACGTTAATGGTTCCAGAGAAGTTACTGAGGTCTCTGAAGGTGTGAGCGTATCGCTCCGAGCTGGGAGGATGGACCGACGCTTCCCTGAGCTGCCTTTTATCTCCTTCCTGCAACACGAAAAGAACATTAGAACACAAGAAAAGAAAGGCGCACCAAAGAGAAGCAGCCAAATAAAAGCATGCATTTTTGAATAATTAAAAAAAAAGAAAGAACATATTTCTATTTTTATTCCTAATGTGTGTTTGGATGCAGCGGAGCTAACCCCTTCCACAGCCAGTTTGCAGAATTCATGAAAATGCCCAAAATGCAAAACTGCCTTTTAGTAACTGACATAAACACAAATTATGTGATTTCCCCCCAAATTCTGAAGACATCATTAATAAACAATAAATCATCTGGCTGATTTCCTTTTGGGTCCAAGTTATCAAGATTTCAACACAAACTCTCTTTAAAAATTTAAGTAAATATAAAATGGAAAACATGGGAATAATGGGGGATTTATTGTATCGTTTATCATTTATCGTGATAAATTTCTTATAACATTTTGACGTACTGTCACAATAAATTCCCCTAAATCTGTACACACTGCCCGTTTTGTTAGTACTATTTTTCTCTTCACTGTTTGTTCAATAAAGGTGCATCAATAAATATCAATACATTTGAAAGTATGATTAAATGGAGTTAGATTGTGTAGTTTAGTAATACAAGTCACACTTTTTTGTATCTGCTGTCCTGAAGAAGCGTTTTACAAACAGGAAGGTTTCTGCTGAAAAACAGTGGCAGACATACAGCTACCTAAAGAAAGTATTAATAAATAGTTGCTATCGTCATGTTTAATGTTATCACAAGAGCACCATAAAATATTACGTTAAAACCTTAAGTAAATATGGCCCACCGCTTCATGGGAAACAAAATAAAAGATATTTGGAGTTTGTTTGTTTGAATGGATTTGATCAGACCTCTGCCCAGAAGATGAACACAGAGTCTCAATAAGTGAATAAAACCGATGGCAGCTCTCATCACTGACCAGCACGTAGCCGTCCTCGATGTAGAGGTTCAAGAAGAGGAGGAAGGTGATGAGGAAGCCGAGGAAGGGGATGGTGGAGCGTTTCCTCAGACACCTCATCTTGTCCAGGGATTTCCACACCAGCCTCATTCTCACACTGCTGATGGGATCTGAGGGAGACATGGTGGAGAGAAACACATCAGGATGCGACGGCTTTTACGCTCTGGAGCGCAGTGCTTAAGGAAAGTTTGGGGTTAAGTAACTGTCCACACTCATTTAAATCATCCGCTGATCCATGTATGATCGTTGGGAGGGGAAATCTGGAATCAAACCCACAACCGTCCAGACAACAACTGCTCTGATGGTTCAACTTGCCATTTTTCTAGAGCTTTACTGCCGACAAAAGTTCCCAGGGCTACCTTGCATGTGTGACTGACCAAATAAAAATTTTAAATAGCTGCAACTTCAAATGTAGCAACGTGCTTTGTTTTTTGCTTCCCAACAACTGAGCGTCAGGATGTGCTGCTGTTGCCGCTGAGACACCCAGCAGAATACAAACTACGTCCAAGCTCAGTTCGATGGCCACACTCACATCGATCAGTCGCACCAAGACTCAGCTTCACCAGGGATTCGGCTTGTCAATACCTCTTTGTGAGCGCTTGAAAACTGAATTTAACATGTCCATCCTCGACTCGCCGCTCTCCGTAGATAGGAAGCACATGTGGATTAAGACAGGAGGTCTTAATCCACGTTTTATCACATTGCAATAAATCTTCTATCTGATAAAACAATGAATAGTATACTAAATACTGTGGGATGTTAATAATGTCATCTGGTGTTTGAAGATCTAAAGAAAAGCAGTTTGAGCGGTTTGCTGGTCACACACGGCAGTGTCACGAGGGAAAGGCATCGGCTCTGACCTCAGAGGAGCAACTGTCAATCGGTAAACGGTTAGGCGTTTCCCGACTGGCAGGCAATGAGGGGAACAGGTTTCCTAAATGGTTTGGTTTGTTTGACACAGTGCAATATGAAGGTGAACAGCAGCAGCTGAAAATATAACAAATGTTAAAATTTTAGTCCCCAATCAAACAGAGTCTAACGGCGATTAGGCGGGAAAACAAACCTCACAGAAATCCTCCAAGTCCCACAGAAAGACGTTAAATTCAGCCTGCTAATTTTGTCTTTACGGTTTTCTGAAAGTTGGGGCGGACTTCACAGTTTCACCTTTTTGTGTTGGTTTTTGTTTAATGAACAACCCAACTTTGGAATCTGCTGTGCGTCTATACGCCTGATGTTCAATGCAGATACTTTTGGAACCTGGTATGAACTAAACTATTTCACACTGTCCTCTTATTTAAAACCCTGAAACCGACTGTGTGCTGTTCGGCCTCAGCTGTACGTCTCCAGGGTTCTGCAGGACTGCATTGTGACAATGGAAGGAACAGTTAGGAATGTTCTGGAGGAATCTGCAGCTGGCCGAGTCATCCCGACACACCGGCGCTCAGCTCAGGTATGGCTTCCTGCTTCCCGTTGCCAGTCTCATCTCGTTTAGCCAGAACTTAGCCGCAACTGCTTCCTCTCTCAGGAGATGCCATGCCCCAAACAACACGGCACGCACTTTCGCTAAAAGTCATGCGCGATTTCATGTTGAGACAAGAACCAACCTCATAGATCCGAGTCCTGGATGTCTATCTTAACGAAACAAGACAAAGATATGTGCCTCCTCGTTTAATAATTCAGCACTGGCTCCGGGGAGGAAGAGCATGAGACGATGATACAGCCAGAGGCGCGGCTGGGCAGAGAAGCTCGTTTCTGCTGCCTTGGATTTCACCAGAGGCTCAGATCCACGGCGTCACAATGGGCGCTTTACTGTTCCTGGAACACGCTGGAATAGGGGAAAATTATGCCGATTTAAGTTGTACGGATGATGGTATGAGTTTGCTGTCGGGATGGTTGCTGTGTGTTGTGTTTACTCTTGTGGCCTGAACCCAGAGCAGTGAAATGGACTTTGTGTGTTTTAAAGGGCCGTGTCATCATGGCTGTCGTACAGTCTGTCACATTTCCCTGGCACTCTTTCAGAGCGCCCTACCAGCAGGCTGGAGCTGTTATATGTCCATTATGCACTCTGCTGCGTGTGTGTGTGTGCGTGTGTGTGTGTGTATGAAAGAAGTGGGCTGAATACACCAAAACAATGCTTCTTTATTTGTTCTCTGCTACAACATACTGAGCATTTATCTTGTATCAGCTGTCAGCTTCTTTAACCAATTCAACAACATTTCTGGCTCTAATAGGTTACTGTACTGCAACATTATAAACTCAAACTTCAATGTAATTTCATTGCATAGAGTTTTACTAAACACTAAGTTGTGCAAAGACTGGAGGAAAAATGATGCTTTAGAACATTTTATTCAGTTCCTTTAAAGATCAGATAATTCTTTATTAGTGCCGCAAGTGCAAAATGTGAGCTTTGATACCACTACATCCAATAAATAAAATTCCAAATAAGTTGAATAAAATCTGGTGCATCTGATTTGTGATGCGCTACAGGAAAACCGGGAACCTTCCAGTCGGAAGAGCAGAAATGGTGAAAAACAATGAAAAACAGTCATTTCTGAGAAATATGTGTATTTATTGATTTTTATTTATTTTTTTGCTAAATATATCAGCTCAAGTCATGAAAAAACCACCCCAGGCTTTAAAAAGCGGTGTCAGAGATGTTAAAATGGTAAACTCAGTGTTGAGATTCTGCAGAGTAAATCTGAGGGAAACTCTCAGCTGATTAACATATGGAAACTAACAAAGTGACAGGTTGGCTACAATGGTCAAAGATGTAGAAAAAACCAACATCTCAAATGATTCAGAAAGTACAATTAGGAATTCTACATATAAAGTAAAATAAATACATAATAACACTGCTTCAGACACAAAGTGTAGAATCAGAACGGATTGGTCACATTGTCACAGTTACCTGTGATAATGTAGAATTGTTTTCAATATCGGCACCACACAAATATTAATATCGGATTGGTGTATCTCAATTACTTTATTGGCTAGCCACACCCTTTAGTTGTTGGTTTCAGGGAATAAGAGTATACCTGAGTGAAATTTGATCTCAGTATAGCCGTTTTGTTGAGATGTGTACAAGAATATTAGTGAACAGTGAAAGTTTAGTCTAAATCCTAATGAGATTTTGTAGAAGGACTTGTAAACTGTTCTTCACAGATGGAATCCATCCAGTGTGACTGAGTTTGAGAAGACTGGAGAAAAATATATGTAGATACAAAGCTGTTCCTCAAAATACTTACAGTGAGAGATGATTCTATGAATTATTGGTGTTTGTGGTTGTAACATGGCAAAATAGGAACAATGTGTATGAATACTTTAGTAATGTTCAATAAACCCTATCAGGCTGTCACTTCAAACAGAAAAAACTATGCAACCAAAACCAAGCATATCAACCAAAAAGACCTTTATTCAGTTTGTTTTATTGTCATTGCAACTAAGCTGTCAATTTGTTTAAGATTTCTTTAAAGCCTTGTGATTTATAAAGTCAATACACTCCTGCTGTTTCTGTTAGCTTTAAGAATGTATTGTCACGCTACGTTAGCATTTTTTGTGATAAGTATTTTCGAGATGAGACGAGACAAGACAATAAACCCATAAATAATGAAACTAAAAAAACCAAACATTGTCCAGAAATCCTCCAAGGAAAATATCACCTGCTAGGATCCCAGGCAGTGCCGTGGGGGTTTGGAAACGGCCCCGAGCCGTAAAGCTTCCCCTCATCAGTCCCCGACATCAAAGCAGGCTGAGAGTTATGCTGCTGTGCGACACATGAGGACCCGAGGGAGACACAATGATAAACAAGGGAAATAACGCCAAGACTAGACCGAGTACAGAGATGAATTCATGTTCCCCGTGTAGCAGTAGAATAATTAGCTGCACACACTTTATTACACTGAAGTCATTTTTCAGTCAACTGAACAGTCCGCAGTCATATCTTCAAACAATCATGGTGACTATTTTTAACATTGTAATATTTAAAGATTCTTGTTGCAGTCCAGTAAAGCAGCACTTATGCTAATGTCAGATTGTAGCTTAAGCTTTCTTCGTGGCTAACAGCTAGCCAGTTGCTCCGGTTTCACAGTGTTTACTTATCATTTGAATCTCATCTGTCCCAAAATGTTGCCACACAAAAGATTTACAGCCAGTGAAGGACTCTTTAGTGCTTTTTGTTAGCCTAGCTTTTTTTGGAAAACGCCAAAACCACCAGGGTTTCTCAGCTGGGCCTGTCACGAAAACACATTTTACTGTCCCAGAAATGATTGCAATAAATGAAAATATAGTCATTTTAAGATATTTTTAACTAATATAATAACAATAATGGCTTATTAATGCAAGTATGCCCACTCAAAGATAAAAAGAAAAATTAAAGAACATTTAACACTGTAACTGGAACACATTTTAGGTATCCAAAATAAGCAAACATAAGAACTGAAATAACAATAATTAAAACGGAGTATGAAGTCAAAATTTATAAAAACAAAAAAAAAAAACATTCAGCTTAGACAGGGAAAACAGGAAAATGTGGCAGGTAGTGAAAGCTAATTACTTCGTACTGCGGGCCAAATGTTTGCAGCGTTTCTCAAAATGGCGGCTTGTCAACGATGTTAAAGGGGAGCATATCTTTTCAAAGACCGTTGTCCAAAAGTAAATTATCAGGCTCATTTTAATTTACCAATATTGCTTATTGTGGCAGGCTTAATATCAAACAGTGCTTGCCTTTACATTCAAATGAAGACTCTCAAATATACAGCTACACAAAGTCAAGATAAAAGCGCTCATCTTCATTCATATTCATATCCCAGGTTCATAATAATGTCTTATACCGACTTCATGAGACAAAGTCGCAGCAAATGTTATGGAGCAAGTCTTTGATATATCATGGCCTTTTAATGTGCTCTAGATCACACTGGCTTTAAAAGTCACTACATTCCTACTTTGGACTTCATCTTATACAGTGGACACCAAGAACCTCTAAAAACAGAACTAACAATTAAAAAAAAAAACCCCTGCTCTTGCTGAAGCTCCACCTTGAGGAAGTCATCACAACATGGCTCCTCTATTAACCCTTTAACAACGTTTTTATCAGTGTTGCACTTAGAAGTAG